TCTGGTAGATTCTACCACCAGTTTATCAAACATATGCATTGATTACAAGGTCGAAAGAATAAGAAGTGACAATGTTATTTAGCTGTTCCCTGCCACATGTTAGCTGCTAAATGTTTTATTTGCATTTTAGTGTGTTTAATTTTGTACAGTATGCCAATAAAGGTTTCTGTCTGTGATTTGTTTATCAACAGAATTCAGACAAGTGATTTCTAGCCATTTGATAGGCACTGCCAATTTTTCTGCACTGACTTTGCTGAGCCTAGATTCTGCCCTCTAGTTTCTCCATCTGTAGTGTCTCTTTGGGGGTAAATTATTATAATAAGGTAGAGGAAAACTTTTGCATGTCCTTTCCCTAATATAGTAGAATACAGAATAAATGTCAGCAAATTTATTGGATTTTCCCCAGGTTTGTGAACAAAAGCAAACAGAAATTAAATTATCTATCATAGGAAATAGGCAAATCAGTTTATTTCCCTAGCTGTCACATTTTAATGTTGTAGATTTTGGTAAATTCTAATCAAAAGTGAATGAAACAAAATTAGGAAAAGGCCATGTAGTCGTGAAAACAATACAAACACAGGAGCAGATGTTACCTTTAATCGACCATAAAGAATTATATATTAAAAAAATTAGTGAGCTTTCGATGAAGGTAATTTATTTTTTAATTCTTCTTAATGGTCGATTAAAGGTATCATGTACTCCTATATTTGTATTGAAACAAAATTGCCACTCATCTCTTATATAATATATGGTATGACTCATTAACTCCAGCAAGGAGGGGTGATTTGGAACCAATTATCTCAGGAGGTGGTGGGCACTTCAAGAGAAAATTAGTCAACCATTTGTCAGATGTATTTTGATTTGGATTCCTGCCTACCACAAGGGTTTGAACTCAGTGACTTTATAGGTCCCTTCCAATTCCATTGTTCTATGATTTTATTATTTGCAGTTGTGAAGCTAGAACTAGTCACTACACAGGATATCATACAGTATACGTATGTATTAATGTGTTTTTTAAGGAATAGCCCTTAGCAGATAAAAATTTTCTGGCGTTTTAAAGCTTGAACAAATACAAAAGGCCCTTAACACAAAAGGCAGAAGATAAAAACTGGCCATGGATATATGAGAGTGAACCATGCTCCAATATCCTATTCTTAAAATAATAGCCCTGACAAAGTGGTTTGGCAATGCACACAAATCTGGTTGAAATTTCTTTCCTGATATATGCTGTCCAATGGAAAGAGGAGTGACCGGAGCTCCACACTGGAGAAACCAAACAGCTACTAAACAAGAGAATGGCCCAGCACAGGAGGGGCAATGGCTCAGGACCACAATCAGCAGTGTCCCTTCATTTGAAGGACAAAGGACACTTATTTGATGACCAAGATGTACTTATTTTGGACCAAGAAGATAGGTGGTTTGAGAGAGGGGTCAGGGAGGCCATACATGTGCATATAGAAAATCCCTCACTTAACAGTGGTGAAGGCCTTAGGTTCAAACTGTCTCCTATTTATTATGCTGCCCTTTCATTCGTCCCCCGAAAGATCAGGACCGCACATCCCAGAAAGACCACTGTTAACAACTGTTAACAACCTATGATAATGGGTGGATAAGGACTGCAAAAGTGGGATTTTTCACTTACACACACCCATCCTTTGTCTATCTAACAAATCTATTCAGACCAGGGCGAAGTAAAACCAATGGGGAGGATATATCAGGGGTCTCCTGCCAACTCTCCTCAGAATGAAGAAGCTACTTGGATGAGTAGCAAAATGTTTCAGCCTAATAAGAAAGAAGTCCAGTTGCCATGACTCAGCTTCCAGATTCTTTCCTGATACTTCCTTTACTTGCAAGTAGATGACTGATTAATTCCAGCAAAGGAGGATGGTTTTGATTACATTAAAATTGGCTTACTATCAGTCTAATGTTCCTGATATGCCATTTGGATCTTGGGGTTTCTTGTTGGTTAACACTACATTCTACTTTGATTTGTCCTACGCAAGTTTCTTCTAGCTCTGACTTTTCATCTCCAGTTCTATACAGTATTTTGTGTATTAGAGGCAAATTTCAAAAAGTATTACTGCTGAAGGCTGCTGGGAAAGATGATTTGCAAACACAGGAAATCAAAAGATCTCTGCATACCTACTAATTTATGTGTGGGTTTCATTCCAAGGATGACTTTTAAATGAAAAAAGGTTGCTTTAAGAGTACTTGTTCTTCAAGAAAAGGATGACAACACTAAATCAAAAAGTGGAGAGGAAGGGGAGATTTTTGAACAAAGAGTTTTGAAAATATATATTTGGCAAAATATTTCCTCATTTTTCAACTATTTTCAGTAAAGAAGCAAGTTGCCATCAAAACTGTTTCTTTCTCTCAGTCAAATATTATTGTTTTTTACATTCCTTTGACACTTCCAACAGAAAATGTAGCTACATTCTATTTTGAACACCATCCTGTTCTCTAGAGCAATGGTCCCCAACCTTGGGCTGCCAGATGTTCTTGGACTTCAGCTCCCAGAAATCCTGGCCAGCAGAGGTGGTGAAGACTCCTGGGAGTTGTAGTCCAAGAACATCCGGAGGCCCAAGGTTGGGGACCACTGCTCTAGAGTACAGGTAGATTGCATATATGATAATTAGCGGGTAAAAGTTCTGCATCAAAAAGATGCCCTACAACAGTGGTCCCCAACCTTGGGCCTCCAGATGTTCTTGGACTTCAGTTCCCAGAAATCCTGGCCATCAGAGGTGGTGGTGAAGGCTTCTGGGAGTTGAAGTCCAAGAACATCTGGAGGCCCAAGGTTGGAGACCACAGCCCTACAACATTCATATTTCTAGAAGATACTCAGATTGTATTCTGGAAATTGCATCAGGGATTAGAAGGACAATACATTTGACTGTGCATTTTACCAATCACTCCCATGTTCTTGCCATACCCATTCATAATAGCAACTCTCTTCTGGTATTCACTTCCTGATATTGCAGGAATGTGTGAGACTAACTCCAGTACCTCAGTTGCTGCATATGCCAAAAACACTGGGAATGGCCAAATCTGAAAGGTTCAGCTCCCATGACAGGTAGGGTATACAACACATAATCAATTAACACTCCTCTTCTCATGCTGAAAAGCCAATGTGTGATGAAAATAGGGCTCAGGTGACTATGTACAGAATCTGGAGTATTACAAGGACAAGAGACATCATCAAGCCTGAAAATGGTCATAGCTATTCCAGATTAGATCTATTTGTTTAAGAGAAAGTGGGTTTGGTCATAGCTATTCCAGATTAGATCTATTTTTAAGAGAAAGTGGGGTTTTTTGTTGTTATTGGGTTTTTTGTTTTGTTTTGTTTTTGCTTTCAACATCTTTTTGAACACTTAAGAATCTGAACAGACAGTAAATGAAAGCACAGTGAATTTCAAAACTAAAGCTATCATGGCCAGAATTCTATTGCTATTATTTCTAGCCCACACCTATAACTGGAACAAGGCAGAAATACAGTATCTACTAGAGATGGAGGTATTCATGTTCATATACAAATACAAATACTCCTGCACAGCTGGACTTAATGAGGGTCTGGTCCATGACACTGGATCGTCCACTCATGCATCTGCCAGCCCCGCTCATCCTTCCAATTGCTCCTGGAGTGCCACTTTCTTCCCACTCAGCTATCTACTCCTGGCAAGGGGGGGAGAGAGAAGGAATCTCCCTGCACAGCTGCTGAGTGGCCAGCTGAGTGGGAAGGGAATGGCACTCCAGGGGTGATTGGAAGGACGAGTGGGGCCGCCGATGCCGGCAGACATAAGTGGATGGTCTGGAATCAGGAGCTGGACACTCGTTAAGTCCAGCTGTGCGGGGATATTCATATTTGTATACGAATATTAATACTCCCATCTTTATTATTTACATTTTATAAAAGTGGACAAAAAGCTAGAATGTTAATTTGAGAAAGGAGATACCAAAAAAAAAGGAGAAGAAATGCATTTTCTTTTCAAATACAACAATTTCTTTTCCATATTACCTTGCACTGTGAGGAATACAGATGCCACAGTAGAGCCACCTTCATTAGATGCCACACAACTGTATTCTCCTGCATCTGCGAGTTTTACCATTTTGACTTCAAGAGAAAGATTGCTCATCATCCGTATTCTGGAAGGCTCCAAGAGTTTCAGATCTTTATTGTTTCTTTTCCATGTAAGGTTATAACGCACTGTGCTCAGAGTTAAGCATGTCAATACAGCTCGGTCACCAGGACTTACAGTAACATTATTGGGAACCTGTATGATAGGTGGTGGCTCTGTGAAAAATACAAGAACAAGCAGAAAAAATATTTACACTATCAGCATGGAAGAGTGAGTGAGAGAGAGAGAAGGGAAGTCTCAAGTTAACAACTTGCTCCTTGATAAACAGGATTATCTTTCATGTGAACATGTTTGTGTGTCATACTGCTCTTTAGACTGGATTAGCAGGTAGACTAAGTGCAGAGACTGGGATTTCTTTTAAACTACAACTCCCAAATCCTAACCAAGCCACAATGTAGAGGTTCAGCCAATTAGGTCCAGATAGATTATAGTTATCTGAATTTTCTGGTATTGCACATGGAATAAAACTCAATATGCTGTATAGATTCATGACAATGCCCCTTTATATTCCCCTGCCTTTTTAAAAAAATGGCAAACATATTTCTTTTCTTTACTATGGACATATGTTGGAAAATGAGCAGGCAGTGTCAGAAAAACTAGTTCCACCTCCTGTAATTTAGCTGTAATAAAGTCTGAGAAGCCTATGCCACAACTTTCCTGGCATATTCTACTAATAGCTCTACCACAATTTTATCCACACCTATTTCTGTCCCCTCCTACTTCCATTGATTAGTTTTCAAGAGTGTTTCCAAATTCTGAACAAACCGTGCAACTGAAGGACTACTTTACCCTTCCAAGGAAGAATGTTATGGGCTTGCACACATCTATGTTATAGCAATGTAAGCTGTCTTGACACAGTATTAGATTTTCTTGGAGCAGCCCTTCATGTTTGAATGAAAGCAAAACCAACAGCCCATTCGCTTTCAGGAGAAACTTCCTCACATTCAGTATAGCTTTCAAAGTCATTAAGTACACATGCTAATATATTTCAGATTTAATAATGCATGGTGGAGGTGCTAACAGTTTCTAGTGGTTGGTATTTTTCTTGTGCAGGAATCAACAGATTGCCTCCACTGTAGTGAGAGGAAAGAACAATCGCCCTTCAATTGCAAATTATGGCCACAACCCTGTTGACAGTCCCAACTGGTGTTGACCTACTGCATCAATAGGTTTTACATAATGTTGATTCAGTGGGTCTGTTCCAGTTAGGAACAGCAGTAAGATCTAGACCTAAAAATGGATTAGAAAGGAGAAAGATCTAGATTGCAAATCCTAGAGAGCCACAGTAATGTAAGTCTTTCATTTCACTCTGCAGCTATGTGAAATGGCTTTCCAAGTGCCCACAGAGAGGTGCATGGTGCGCAGTGACCTCAGAGTGAGCCTTCCCTAAAGCCTCAGTGGTTGGAGTGGTCTTGCATTTTATTGCGGGGGGTTACAGCAGTCAGCCTCTTTCTCCTTTCACATCAGCTAAGTATTTCAGGATACTGTGTTTTACCTTCCCCTTCCCTCATTCTCACTTGTATTAACAATGTGTATTTTTTAAAAAATCAGTCCATTTTCACACATTTATCCAAAAACAGTGCACATCATTAATTTGAACTAACAGGTAAATCAATACTACCAGCTGTTTAAATATGACTTTTAAAATAAGAATCATTTGCTCAGATTACATCCTCTTCTGTGTCCATTTTAAAAGTATAGACATGCTGGATGTTGCGGCTTGTTTTCATATAGCTGCTGAAAATGTTTATATGAAGATGTACACTATGAAGTATGTTACCTACTTTGTTGTTCAAAATGATGCTTTATAGATTATACTTACAATTATTTTTGGGGATAGCAAGCTAGAAATGCAAATACTTCCTTCAACAGGAAAGTTTATTTCCAGCAGCTCTTCAGCAGGAGCAAAGTATCCAATTCCCACTACTGGGATTAATAAGAAAAAAAAATGTACAATACTCTCCTGTGTACTGGCTAAGAAGAACAAATTTTTTTTTACCTGGATGGGGCCATTTCTGCTGTACTCCCATCTCAACCACTTGTTTAAAGCCTAGACAGGATCTCCCAGGTCTTAATTTCCAATTAGATCTATGACAGCAAATTACACTTAAATAAATAAATAAAAGCTCCCTTATTTCACTTTTGTTTCCCATGAGTTCTCTTCAAAAAGATTTACAGTTCTAAGAACTAAATAAATCAAGTTGGCGGCACTAAATATTCATGCTGGCAGTTGATTTGCAAATCCTCATTCATCATTGCATAACAAAGTTTCTTTTACTTCAGAATTATTTCAGTTCAGCTGGCCCTGTCTTTTCATTGGACTGTTGGGGATAAATGTGTGGGTGTTTTCAACATGTTTTAAAATTTCTATTTTCTATTTCTATTTTCATTGGCCGTGGTCCAACAGGATCACTTCACAGATGGAATAGCAGCCATCAGTGGAATTGGAAGGATGACAGTCCCCATTCCCATCCCCACATACCCTCAAAACCTTCTCTAGAAGTCTAGATGAGTCACCCTATCAAGTCCTGTATCATAAACCTATCAAGCTCATTGTTACTGCCATATTCTTCCCATTTGAGGGCACAATTTTACTTACAGCCACATTCAGTCAATTCATCTGCTGCTACCTGCAGGAGGCAGTAACAGTGTTTCTTCATGATAAAGTGAGCAAGTTGCTAACCAAAGTTGCTGATGATATTGAATACTGAATAAAGAAATTATTTCCCTCCAAATTACTAGCAAATAGAATGACTCACTGATTCTCAAACAGGGACATTATTACATGAAAGATGCTCAGGGAAAGTTGTGCTACCTAGGATTTCCGGGAGTTGTAGTCTAAGAACATTTGAGGATCCAAGACTGGGAACCACTGTTTTAGGAGACCATGAGAAATATGATTGTTACAGATTTCAATACGAGCTAACTTCATCTGCCCTTCTGTACCAATGTTTAAAGTACCTGTCATTCTTTTTTGTACTTCTGCAAATATTACAACAGTTTTTTGTTCAAAATATGTATAAAAATACATTTTTAAATGTGCGCTTTAAAGCCCATATTTAAATACTATTTAATCATGCCTTTATTTTTAAAAAGTAGAAATGGAATGGACTAGATTTGTCGACATATTCAAAATTCACATAAATAACAGATAAATAATCATAGAATAATAAAGTTGGAAGATGGCAATAAGGCTATCGAGCCCAACCCCCTGCTCAATGCAGAAATACAAATCAAAGGATATCTGCCAGATGATTCTCTAAATTTCTCTCAAATGCCTCCAGTGCTGGAGCACTCACCACCTCCTAAGGTTACTGGTTCCACTATTGTACTGCTCTAACAGTTAATGTGTTTTTTCCTGATATTCAGCTGAAATCTGGCTTCCTCTAACTTGAGCCCATTGTTGCATGTTCTGCACTTAGGGATGATTGAGAACAGATCCTGCCCCTCCTCTGCATGACAGCCTATTTGCAAAGTACTATTATAACTCCCCTGAGTCTTCTTTTCTCAAGGCTAAACATAGCCAGTTCTTTCAGTCTTTCCTCTTAAGGTTTGGTTTCTAGCCCCTTGATCAGGCTCTTCTACCCTTCACTGTTCACTTATACAACCAAATACTGGCTGCTGTCCTTTAACAATAAGCCAGAGCTTGGAAACATTGAAACAAAGCCTCTTACATTGTTATGCCAATAGATGGGAAATAGAGTAACCCAGAGTGGCAAATTACTACTAATTAATGACTTCTCATTAAGATTTTTCATTGCACACAAGTAATGTATGACCAGTAATACAACTAGGGACTTATTAATTAGCAGCAATTTGCTGCTGGGAGTTATTCTATTTCCCTCCTGCTGATATCAGTGCACAAAATTTTATCCATTATTTTTTTTTCAACCAGAGGTTTCAAGAACCAACAGCCGGCATGACCTAGTATGCCAAGTTCTGTAATGATCATAATGTGTGTAAAGAAATGGGTCACCATTTATGATATAACTTCTTCACATAAACCTTTCTGCTTCATTGGAGAAAGGAGGAATTAAAACTTGGAAAAATTAGGTTTTTTAGAATAAATTGTCACATGAACTGAGCAAATCTTGGAGTTGTAGTTGAGAATGGTAACTTTTTGAAGTCTTCACATGCCATTTGAAACAGCAAACAGATCATCATCTCTTTTGCATCCAATCATGGGGAAACAAATTATATATCATGAATTAAGACAGTTAAAATTGTTAATAACTCTTGGAAGAGGTTATGATTGTGAATCATACAGTATCTTCTTCTCAGAGAAATAGGGGTGGGGTAGGAAGTCCTCCTTCATCTTCATGAAAAATCTCATGTGGCTTCTCAGATGTTTTGTGATAATTTTTTCTGTGAGGAATCACAAACTGCAGGATTATTAAATGCTATTTGTCTATGTCATTCACCTATGCCAAATTGTACAGGATTATTAAAATTCTTGTAGAAAATGGCATGTTTCCCACACAGGATTCACAGGAAAGGCCATCAAGCTGCTCATGATTTGCCAGTTGCCTGTGTAGAACTACAGGTGAAGAACATTTGGGGAGGCAGAATAAATTAATGGAAAAATGGACCACAGTCTGGTTTTCACAAAAAGCTGGAGAATTTTGCTGGTGCAGGGGAAATGTCTTTCGGTACACCTGGCATGGTGAAACTCATAAAATCACAGAGATCAAGACTGATTGATTGATTGAGTCTTCTCTTTTTTCAAGGCTATTTAAGGCAGTGGCTGAAATCTTGTTGTGCAGCCCTTCACACACAAAAGTGATGACATCAGCAGCAGTAGCAAATTGTCCCTGACAAAGTGCTACCTTAGCAGTTTCTGGATATATGTAACTTGTTGCATTGTGTGTCACTCACACATATTTTGAAATCACCTTTAATTAGTGGTGACTGTTACATACAGCACTGATGTTACCTGTCTGTCATGGGTTTGGAGGGAAAGTTCCATCCTATGGGGAGTGGAAGGCGGGACATCAGGAGGAGGGGCTGTACTGTATATATATGAGATGCTATGAGACACTGAGAGATGCTGAGAGACGCTGAGAGACGCTGGGATGTGACGAAGCAGCAGCTGGGAAGAAGAAGCTGGTGTGGGAGTCTGTGTGTCAGACAGGGTACTACTGTGTGTCAGAGTACCAACCTGATAGGTTCAGGTGTCTGTTGGTTAGCCAGAACTGATAGGTTCAGGGTCTGTGCTTCAAGTTAAGGGTTCTGTGGGAACCAAACTGTATGTATGTATGAGTGAAACTAAGCCACGTTACTTTATGTTATTCACCTGATTGTTTTATTTTTCCCTGTGTGTATTTAAATAAACCTTATTCTTTTTATTGTTTAAAAATCCATCCCTGGTCTGTGTGACTTCTTAAAGGGAATGGTTGGTGGCAGCTTAGTGTAACTGTGTGACATATCCCAGTAGGTCTGGGTTTGTCACAGTGACTTTGTCTTGAATCAGCGGCAATTTGCTACTGGTGTAGACATCATCATTGGTGTGCATGTGGAACTGGTGAACAGCATTTCAGCCAGTGACTGTGATCATATTGGGGGGTGGGAGAGAGAGAGTTTATGAAGTTCTTCATTGTACAATTGGAAAAGTACATAGTATTTTTCTTTTTCTTGCTGTTGTCATTTTGATCTGAATCGTCACTATGTAATTTGGAATGCATTGACAAATACTGTTACTAGGTGTGGTGTGTGAACGTATATTTGAGTGAAAAGGATCCCTTTGGAGAGGAAACAGTAAATGGTACTAACCTGAGACATCCAAAAATGTCTGTGCTTGCCCAGTTCCTGCACTGCTGCTGGCAGTACATTCATAATAGCCCTCATCTGATAAAGACACCTTGGGAATCTCCCAGTTCACACTAGCAGTTTCCCTATATAATAAAAACACAAAACGCTAGATGGTTTATACAGGATTTGGATGAAACAGGCATAGAAAAGAATTTTGCTAAACTCAGTAGCCTCAGTTAAAGTAATCTTTTGATATTTCAAAAGTGGAAGAAGAAATGCATTTCATCTTGAGAATATTTATATTTGCAAAATTAATTGGGCCATTTTGGAGCAAGAAAATGCACCTAAACCAGTGAGCATGTTTTAAAATATAGGTAACAAAAACACGTATGACTGAAAATATACACACACAAAACTCACAAACACACTTGGGTCAATGCAGGAAAAGTTTTATGTTAAATAAATTTCTTAAGTAAATGTACATTTTAGAAAAATGCATTAAAATATACACAGCATGCTAAGAAAGTATATGCTTAATAATGCATTATTATTATATTAGGAAAATATATGATAAATTCTTCAAGCAGTTACAAAATAAACACAAGAAGAACATGCACACAGGGGAAGCGTAACAAAAATTAAGCCTGGCAGAATTCCACATCACTACCAGGGAGAGTGAATGAGAAGCCAGGCCATAGACACCTTCTGGCAGGCACACATTGGTCTCTTCCACACTCTTTTCACAATGTCAGGGAAAAACTATAGGCCTCCAGAGCCAAATCAAGACCCGAATGTCAGGAGATTTGAAACCAGAGCCTGTAGAGAAGCAAACTGAATGGACTAGGTAAGGGCAAAAGGAGGCCAACCTCCCAGGAGTTTTAGAAATACAGAACAGCCAAGAGCATTCAATACCATGGCACATCATATACTACTATTCTGTTTTGTGTCTAAAAAGGCTCTAGAAACCTTAATGCATAGTTAAAGGCAGCTTACTAGAGAAAGTCCCATTCCTAGACAAAAAGGATCCAGTTAAAAACCTGACATGGAATGGCAATGATAATCACCTAGAGAGATAATGTTAAAAGATAAAGGTTCCCCTTGACATTTAGTCTAGTCGTGTCCGACTCTAGGGTGCGATGCTCATCCCCATTTCCAATCCATAGAGCCAGCGTTTGTCCGAAGACAGTTTCCATGGTCACGTGGCCAGTGCGACTAGACACGGAACGCTGTTACCTTCGCACTGAGGTGGTACCTATTTATCTACTCACATTTTTACATGCTTTCAAACTGCTAGGTTGGCAGGAGCTGGGACAAGCGACGGGAGCTCACTCTGTCACGTGGATTCGATTTTACGGCTGCTGGTCTTCTGACCTTGCAGCACAAAGGCTTCTGCAGTTTAACCCACAGTGCCACCACACCCCTAATGATTCAAGAAGTAGGAGTTCTCAAGAAGATAAAGGTAAGTGCAAAATCCCTTGCATTTTGTTTTTCTTAAATGCTTTTCAGACTGAATAAGATAGTAAAGAAGTGGGGATAACAATGAATAAATAAACAAGACTGTCAAATTATAATGTATCCAGTTTATAACACTAGAAACACCTGTACACTATACAGCAGTACAAAGTGTCCCTTCCCATTACAGATACTTTGAAGCACTGATTAGCTACTGTTAATGCAATGATCCGTTCTGCTTCATTTGTCCAAAATTCTAAATATTTAGTTAAAATTTATTGAATATCGAATCCACAATGATGCCAGCTACAAAACAATCTGTCATATACAGTACACTCATATCAATGCATCCTGATTGTTTAAATTCTATCAAACAAATATAGACTTTTCTGAATTTGGTATACTGGAAAAAATAAATCTTACTCATGCTATATTTCATGTTTTACACAATATTGTATAATTGTATATCATTCAGTATATCTAATACTGGCCAGACTGTTTTATCTATATTACAGGCATTGTGAAAGATTGCTATTAAAATACTGTGTCTGTCTTCATCCTGAGGTATAGCTCCTAAATGAAGAGAGGCGAGTGTAGTACAGAACATGATCAGTCCTTTTAAAACACATATGCAAGAAAGTACAGCCTCTGCACGAAACAGGAGAGAAGCCAAGGTAAGTCTCATTATTTAAAATGGAATTATCAGTTAGTAACCCTTGGTTTTTAAGATTTTGTGAAACCATCAACATATTTTTCTCTTTTCAATAATAATGTAATGAGATATGAAGGAAATTAAGAGAAAAAAATGAGCAATGTGATCATTAAAGCTTGAGACCAAAATGACAGAACTAGCAAAGTATGTGGCTGCAATGACTTAATGGAACTCCACGAAAACATTATGTGATAAATTGGCAGCAGTTTACAAGGAAGAACTATACAATTAATTGATTATTTAATAATACCACAGTTTTGCAGTTAGGTGTCACCAGTACATATATGACACCCAACTCTACCTCTCATTTCCATCCAAATCCAAGGAACCTGTTTCAGCTCTAGATCAATATCTAGTGTCATGAATGACACTAGACATTGATCTAGTGAATAAACTGAAACATAATCGAGATAAGACAGTGGTGCTTCCAGTCAATCGAAAGGCAGATCAAGGAATAGGGATGCAGCCTGTGCTGGATGGGGTTACATTCCTTTTGAGAATGCAGGTGTGAAGCTTGGGTGTGTTCCTGGATTCACATTTAAACCTGGACACCCAGATTTTGGTTTTGGCCAGGAGTGCATTTGGAAAACTAGTACACCAGCTGAAGCATATCCTGGAGTGGCAATGGAGACACATGTCTTAGTTACATCCTGGCTGGATTACTGTAAGGCATTCTAGGTATGGCTGCCTTTGAAAAGTGTTCCGAAATTTCAGCAAGTCCAAAAAGCTGCAACCAGTGTTAACTGGGGCTTGGATCACATAACACCCCTCAGACAAATGCTGTAATTAACCTATAAAGCCCTAAACAGTTTGGGTCCAAGCTATCTAAAGCAGTGGTCCCCAACTGTTTTGGAACCGCAGACCTGTTGGGGGTGCAGGCACTGTGTGTGGGGGGCATACTCATGGGTGGGCATGTCGCTCTTGCAGAGGGGCGTGTTGTGCTTGTGCACATGCACATGAGTGCAACACGCCCCTCCACAAGCATAACATGTCCACCATGTGTGCATGCAGGGAGCGGAGATCCGTGTCCACAGGCCAGTTCAAGGAAGCCCACAGACCGGCACCAGGCTACAGACTAGGGGTTGAGGACCCCAATTTAAAGGACCGTGTTGCCCTTTATGAACCTTCTTGGATGTTAGGATTATCAGGGGATGCCCTTATCTCAATCCCACCCACCATCACAGGTTCGCTTGTGGGGAACACTAGAGAGGGCCTTCTCTGTTGCTGCTTCCAGACTCGGGAAGCTAAGCTGGCCCCATCTTTGCTGTCCTTCCGCAAGCAGGCAAAGACCTTTCTCTTAATGCAGGCTTTCCTTTAGTGACTGATTGTCTGAGAAGGGTTTTTTGAATAATTGTTGTACTTGTTACTTTGTATGTATTTTGTTGTTGATTCTGTTTATCATTTCAATGTGGTATTTGTTTGATTCTTTTGTAATATTTACTGTTTTTAGCTTTTAAATATTGTTTTCTATTAATGCAAGTCCACTTGGGTTCTTCATTTTTATTTTCTATTTTGCGAGTTGTAACCCTCCCAGAGTAGTGCTGTGACACTAATGAATGGGAGTTGGATACAAATTGAATAAATAAATAAATACATAAATAAATAAATTGGTTACAACAGAATGTGTGCTACTCAGCATCTACATTTTGGTAGTATAAAGACAGATCATTTTCCTATTCTTCATGTTTTTGTGTACCAAAGTATTTAGGAGATACATGACACTCATGGGGAAACAAAGGCTTGTTGACTTACAACTCCCATAAATCAAAATATTATCATATCATCACCATCACCACTAATGCCACTGTTTTTTGGTCCACTTGTTAGCTCAAAAAATTTAGGACTGGATTCAGACAAAATAAGATATGCCTCAATTCTAACAAGCAATGGGAGCAGTAAGTAACTATTAAGTCTACTCATTTCAATGGGGATAATGAATGACTAATTTAATCTGGATCCATATCATAATATAAAGTTCAGTGGTTTTTAAATCAGCAAGCTTTAGGAAGCTGAAAATTTATCACTGGTGAAATCGCCAGGATGATGCCTTTACTTACCAGGATTAGTGAGGTCACGAACCACCCTAGTTCACAGCCTCATTAATGATCTTAATACTGAATGCCTTTTTCAACAATTTGAAGGCTTTGGCATATCTCCTGGTCAGAAGCTTTACAGTAACCAAATTGCATTCCAACTTCCATGTACTCTCTAGCTGTCTCCTTGCTAACTTCATAGCTCAAAGTCCTCCATAAACCAAGAGGAGATATCAGCTCTGAAGCAGAAAGGGCCTTTGGGAGCAATTGTCTAAACCAGCTGGGCCACCTCGGTGTACCACCTACTGACTTAGTATTGATCATGGATCACCAACCACGTTAGCTAGCTACTCCACCAAGGCCTCCCTAGACCTATCTGGATCAAGAGGTCTCCAGCAAACCCCTTCCCCCACACCTCCAATGGGGATCAAGTATCCTGGTGGATGGACCCAAGAGGGAGCTATTGCTTCCATTCATACCTGCGCAGGTCTCAGTAATGCAATACAGATCAGCTCTCTCATCCATGAAAAGATAATAAATTAGATGATATTTGCTTTGAAGTGATCTGGCATTTACCAGCAGGAGGGTCAGGTCAAAAGGATTGCTGAGCGTACCTCACTTTTGACAGGGAGCAGAATGGCATTTGGAGGGAGGCATCTGAAACTAGTAACTTTAGCAACTATTACTGGCCTAACAATGATATGAATTCCTTTGGAACAAGTAAGTTTTGTAAAAAAAAAATGACACTACAGCGAAGTTCCATTTAACTAGATTTACAGCAGTGTGGAACTGCTTGTCTTTTTGTTTAAATGGCATTTTCACAATTATTACTGGCTTTATCTGGCTGTGGGGGCCAGAGGTTGGGACTTCATTTTCTCAATGTGCCTCCTAGCAGAAGAACCAGCATATGCAGCTTAGAGCAAACTGCACAGCCCCAGAAAGAATGGAATGGTAAGCCACTTTTCTACCTAGAAAGAATTGCCATGTCAGCTGGTTCTTCTGCTAGGAGGCACATTGTTGTGATATAATGCGCTCTTCATTGTATCTCTCTGCTATACAGTCATTTATCAAAGAGAAAATTCCTATGAAACAAAAACTGTTACTTACTTGAAAAACTGATCCATACCCAGTTTCATTCCATTTCTGCTGAAGTACATAGTAAAAGGTATAAGACTGGCAATGTGGCAAGAAATGTGACCAAGTTGCAGATAATATCCTGGTGTACTCTTGGGCATGCTTACTCTTGGAGCATCTAAAATAAAAGGCAGAGTTACCTGGTTTCCCAAAAAACAAGACCTAACTTGAAAATAAGCCCTAGTATGATTTTTCAGGATACTCGTAATATAAGCCCTACCCCCAAAATAAGCCCTAGTTCAGTGAAACCCCAACCTCCACCATTGTGTAGCATTGTGCAGCAACCAGAAGAAGATGACATGACTGTAAAATAAAACATCCCCTGAAAATAAGCGTTAATGTGTTTTTTTGGAGCAAAAATTTATATAAGACCCTGTCTTATTTTCAGGGAAACATAGTATTAGAAATATAACAGAATAGGACAGTAGTTCCTATTCTATAATACTTAAGGCTGTATAGTATCAACCCTACAAATGGTTGGTATATCCCTTCCCAAAGCAGCCCTGTAAACAAAGAAAGATCATACAATTAAAAACAAAAATAATTTTTTTAAAAAAATTACCAGGAATAATATTAGAAAATGAAACACTGGAAACTCTCTGGAAGAGGTAGTCATCTTTGTCATAACCAGTTATTTTAAGAAAAAAGGCTTCATTTGGTGGAATAAACTCAGTAATGTTCCAGATTCCATAGGGTTTTCTACTGGGGAAATATTTAACAGGAATTGTCTTCAGAAGCTCTCCAGTGATACTGAGCAGTTCTAGACGATCCACTCTCGCAGGTAGATAGATCCCTGTAGTATTCAGTAGAATGTAGGTAGGTATCCCTATTGATAAAGTACACAGTGAAAGTTACAAGATGTGAAACTGAGACTTTTCAGTTATCCCAAGCAGCACAAGTTCCTCTACGTACTGTCCTTTTATTTTATTTTTTAATTTTATTTTTATAACTATAACATAAACATAAACATAAAATACGCAAACCAAAATACGATTTAACTGTGTTCCCCACCACCATAGACGGGACCTCTTGCAATAATCTTCTTCTTTCTCCATCTATATTCTTCTTCTTCTTTTATTGTCCTCTTCTCCAGAACTGCATTGATTCTTGATTTGGAGCTTTCCCTTTTCCTCTTGTTAACACATGTTCCAAAACTCTGTCCCATATTTCATAAAAATTATTCTTTTTCAACTCTCCTTTCTTAACCTTTAAATTACAAGTTAATCATTTATAGCTATATTCCATATTTCATTATACCATTCATCGATTTGAAATTCAAATTTTGATTTCCATTGCCTAGCTATTATCAGTCTAGCCGCTGTTAATATATTGGTTATCAATTCTTTAGTCATCTTATCATATTCCACATTCTCAAATATTAATAACAAAGCACTCTCAGAATTAAATTATATATCTCTTTCACATATGTCCTTTAATTCTTTAAAGATTAGCTTCCAAAATCTTTGTACTTTTTCACATTCCCACCACATATGAAAGTATGTACCAATTTCTTTCTCACATTTCCAACAGACATTCGGATAACTAGCATTAATTTTATTTAATTTTATTGGTGTTAAATACCATCTTAGACCCAGTTTAAAAAAGTTTTTCCTTATTCTCACTGACATAAATCTTAAGACCTTCATTTTCCATATCTTCCTCCATTCTTCCTCATTTATTCTTTTTCCAATGTCTCGTTCCCACACTATCTTCAATCCTTCTTTCTCACTTTCTTCTTCCTCTAAGTCAAGAAGATGCCCATAAATTTTATTCATTGTACCCTTTACTGAATCAGTTATCTGAATGTCTTCATATGATAAGAATTGTTCATACTTTGTGCATTCTCTACCTTTGTTATATTTCTTTACCCATTCATTAGTACATCTTTGTACATAATTCAACCATGAAATATTCTTATTCTGAAGGATTTGTTTCATTTGATCTATCAATCTCATTTTATACAACCAATCTTTCAATCTAATCACTTTTTTCTTTAAATAATTCCGCATACACTTTCATATTAACAGGAAAATTCTCTATTTCAGTCACTGATCCAAGTGGAGCGTTAAATCAGTGGTCAGGGAAGAGGGTTAAATTACCCCAAATGGGGTAAAGATGAAAAATCCTGGGGGTAATGAGGATGCAACCCTAACCCCTTTTCCTCCTCCTCCTCCTCCTCTTCCTCCTCTTATTCCTGGAAGGGAGTTCCCGGGCTGCCCTATTGCCCCCTCCCCACCCCCTTCTCCAGCCCGGCTGCAACCGAGCCACAGCGGATGGTGGATGGCAATCGGCCCCAGCTGGTGGCATAGGGCAGCCGAGGTGGCAGTGGCAGGGCTGGCCATGGCAGAGGGCAAGGCCAGGGCAAGCAGCTGGAGTGCCCCAGCCAGGAGGAGCCTCTCTTTCCAGTGCCTGAAGAGGTGGATTGCGGCGGAGAGGGGTGGGTGCGACCACAACGGCGGTCTGGGCTAGGCTCAGCCTCTTGGCCCCGGGCAGCCACCCCACACCCCTGTTCCCGGGTGGCAAGGCTTTGGCGGCAGCACTCGACAGGCCGTGTGTGACCACGATCCTTCCTTTCAAATCAAGGGGGTAATGTCAGTGTATATAAATTTTCTGGGGGGTAAAAGGTAAAAAAGTTACCTGACCCCTGAGTTAAATGGACTTAAATTCTTTCTATATTTCTACCATATGTTTACCATTGTCTTTAAAATGGGTTATTAATTTCACTTATTTTATATTTCTTAACCATGCCAAATAAATATTTTTCAACACAGTATCTTCCTGTAATTCTGATTATTCAATTTCCCACCAAATTAACCTTTCTGGGTTGTATATAATTTTTCCAATAAACCTCAACTGATTAGCCAAATAATAATTTTTTATATTTGGTAAACCTATACCACCTTTTTGTTGTTTTATACCAATACTTTTTATTTATTCTAGGTCTCTTCCCTTCATTACAATATTTGCTAAAATTTCAAATCCTCCTCTGTTAATTGTATTGGTAACATTCTAAATAAAAAAATAATTTTTGGTAAAAGTTTCATTTTTATCAGTGCAATCCTTCCAAACCAAGAAAGTTTAAAATTACAATATTCCTGTAATTTCTTTTTAATTATTTCCTTTAATTTATTATAATTATATTCCTTCATTCTTTTAATTTTTTTACTAAATCTATACATAAGTATTTAACTGATTTACATATCTTAAAGTCATGTTTCTCAACAAACCTTTCTTGTTCTAATTTATTATGATTAAACAACATTATTTCAGATTTTTGTCAATTTACACGTAGTCCAGTTTTTCCAAATGAATTTTAATTCTATCGATACTTTCTAACAGGTTTTTCACTGTCCATAAGGACCCATCAGCAAATAAATTATTTCATTATTTTTCCCCATACCTTCAATTAAATCGTCATTCCTTATTACATTTGCTAACATTTCAATAATCAAACAGAACTGGGGAAAGAGGACAACCTTGTCTAGTGCCTAGGCCTAGAGCTATCTGTTCTGTCATCCCATCATTAACTATTAATGCAGAGGTATTCTCCACATATAATTGGTCTATTATCCCCCTAAATTTCTTTCCAAAACCCCAGCCCTTTAACAAAATCTGGCCATTCTACACAATCAAATGTCTTGAATATGTCGAGTGATAAAATACCTGCCTTTGATTTATCTTTTTCTATATTATATACAATATTCAAGACCCTCCTAGTTAAATTTTCCATTTGTCTTCCCTTTAAAAACCCATTCTGATCCTCTTTAATATATTTTGTAATAAACTTATTCATTCTATTCACAAGTATTGCAGTGAATATCTTTGCATCCTGATTTAATAATGAAATAGGTCTATGTGAACTTGAGTTTCTTAAATCTTTATTGGGTTTTGGAATAAGAGTTATTAATGAATGCTTCCAAGAATCCGGTATTTTCTCTCCTTCCAGTATCTCATTATATTTTTAACTTAGGGATCAATATTGATTTAAAAATTTTATAGTATTCTGATCCCATTCTGTCATAACATGGAGTTTTACCATTTTTTAGTTTATTAATAATCTCTATAATCTCTTCATCTTTTATCTCTTTTTCTAAGTCTCTTTTATCATTCTCTAATAGTTTACTCTTAACATTTTCTACTGTCCTTTTAGACAACACAGCCTATTTTGGTTATTCAAGGAAGACAAGCAATAATGCAGCTTTGCATTGTATCTTTCCTAGTCAATACTAGTCTCTGTTCTTGCTGTCCTTTGCTGCCTTTCCTCAGAGGTTCGGGAATATAAAGAAAATTATGGGGCCAACAATGTTTCTCAGGAAACAGAAAAGCATGTTTACATAGAGCAATGTAATGTAATTGTTTAAAATGTAGCCTTCCTCCCCTATTAATTTTTCAGACAGGGTGTTGTTGGAGTATTTATTTATTTATTTATTTATTTCATTTATTCATTTATTTATTTATTTGTCCGTCCGTCCGTCCGTCTGTCCGTCCATCCATCCATCCATCCATCCATCCCACCTATCTTACGTTACGACCACTCTAGGTGGCTTCCAAACACATAAAAACAGCATATATAACAAAGAAGAAAAGGAAATTATTACATCAATAAACAAGTTCCCCGGTTAACAATAAACAAATTATTATATTTTATTCAGACTTTCTGCTCTTCTAGTTATCAGTCCACTCTTCCTGTTGAGCTTTAGGCAGAACAAGTCAAAGGAAACCAGAAGAGAAGGAAGCAGAGGGGAGGAAGAATCCAATACAGGCAAAAACAATCCTGGAGTCAACAAGAAACAGAAGGAGCAGAACCTAAACAGGACCACAGAATGATCTGGTTTGACATATTGATGTGAATAGGTATCTTTGCTGGAGTGAATCATTTCTCAGACGTTCTTTCCTTTAGTAAGAACAGAGAAGTAAAGCATAATTTGCACCATGTCAGGACGCAGATATATCCCTCATAGATTTTCCTGCTGTTGGTCTAGACTAGAGCAAAGTTAGGGCCTTCTAGACGTTTTGGCCTGCAACTCCCAGAAGTCTACTCATCATGGTCAGTGATAAAGCACTATTGGAGTTCTAGGAAAAAACATTTAGAAGTCCAAAAGTTTCCCATGCTCTAGAATGCTCGCCGGCATTCTCCCAAGACAGCACCTCTTGCACCCTCCATCCAGAACTGCAGCCTGCCAGCCAGCCCACCTGTCTGTTGGCTAAGGAAACTCCTGGGCGGCTTCCTCGGGCTCTTGCTCCACTTGGCGGAAAATCTGATGCGGCCCAGCCTCACCCAGACTCTGCCTCTAGCGGCCCCCAGGTAAATTGAGTTTAAAATCCCTGCTCTAGAGGAAGCTTGAGACTACTGCAGAGTCTCCATTAAAGAATAAACAAATTTATATTCCAGTCCTATGAAAATTTACTTAGGGGCATATTTCATTGAGCTCAACAAGACATGCTTTGTAAGAATAATCCAAAAGGCCCATGCAGGAAAAACTGTAAACCATGTGGATTGTGATTTTTGTAACACAGAAGGAAATTTTAGGAAGCCAAACTACACTCATTTAAATCAAAACCTCACATAAACATTTATAAAGGATTAGATTTCTTTTCTCTCCCTGCTGTCATAAAACCATTCTGTTTGTCTTCCATGTTTCACTTGTTTCTCCACTCCGTTAGAAATCAACTAATCAGACTTTCAATTTGTTTTTCAGTTTCTAGTTCCAATCATATTTTGAAGAACTCAGACACCTTTGAGCCAAGATAAGAATCTGAAATGTCTGCAGCACAAAATCCACTGTACCCATATCAAAATACAACATCCTTCAAGTTTCCACTCTTCTATGTACAAAGAGTTTGGGCAAGATCCATTAAAGAGAAAGGATGCATCTGAAAGACACTTTCCAAAGAAGTGCTCTCATTAAACTAAGTTTTTTTTTGTTCTGAGTTAAGACATAGCAGCCTGTTTAAAAAAAAAAAGCAATACTATGTTGTGCTCTTAAAAAAATCCGAGATTCATCATGCAAGATATAGGCAAGATGTCTGAAAGAACTTCATTATATATTTGCCTGCTGACTAGCATCTAAGTATGTTTTTTCCCTGAGCAGTATGATGGCAGAGTAGCTCATTCACTAACTACTTAAATTTAAAATGTGTGAACTCAAGCAGCAACTAACCTTGCACTGGTCTGCTGGAAGTCATTCTGAAGTCTAATGTTGGCTTTCTGGAAAAACCAGCTCTGAAGTCAATGGTACTGAGACCGGTAATGCGAACAGAGTGTCGTCCACCACTTGATGTCTGAAAAACAATGCAGGAGAATATCATTCTAGATATAGAAAAGAAATTTTGCATTAACCAATTTTTTATTTGCAAATGCATTGAATTTTCAGGGTGTTTGGATATTAATTAAAACATGTAGCTATCTCATAGCGTCCAATCACTGAGAAGCACCAGGTTCTTATTTTTAAGAAATGTTATGTTCTGCAGGTAAATATATACCACTAAAAGTCCATATAATTAAAAATGCACATAAAGGCATATTTGTCAATGAGAACATGAAATTAAAATAACATACATTGGCTAAAATCCTGTTGCCCAACTATATAAGCAGAACTCGAGATTGTACCTGTGGCAGTTATAATAGAAATGAGGTGGAAATGGTATCCACCAAGCACTTCCATTGATGCTTTGTGTAACTGGCCGTGCCAGGAATGCACAACTGACTGAATAGCACAATTCCTTGTTGCCAGGCATAGATTAGATTAGGCATCCTTCAGTCTCAAGAGATTATGGTAACGTGCTCTGAATGAAGGACTTGGAATAGCATCTAGTGTAGCTGAGAAGGCCAATTCAAGAGTGACAATCCCTTCCACACTGAAGAAAAAAACAGTCTGTCCCCTGTCCAGCTTCCTGATTTTGCTGGTTTCGGGACTGCCTCTTTGCCTCGGCTTGCTAGAAAAGTGTCTCTTCAAAATTCAAAGTACTTGTTCTGACATATAAAGCCCTAAACAGCTTGGGCCCTGGATACCTGAAGGACTGCCTCCTTCCATATGAGCCTACCCGGCAGTTAAGATCTAGCCCAAGGGCCCTTTTGAAAGAGCCGTCCCTCAAGGAGGTAAGAGGCTTGTAGACAAAGGGCTTTTTTGGCAGCTGCCCCCAGACTATGGAATGCCCTCCCGACTGAGATCCGTCTGGTGCAGACACTGATGATATTGCGGCACCAGGTCAAAACCTTCCTGTTCCAGAAGGTTTTTAATTGAAATAATATCAACTGTGGGTCCTGATGGCAATTTTTAGAGTATCTATTTTAATAGTTACAGAACTTGAATTCAGACTTCCAAAGAATAGCAAGGAGAGACAAGAGGGCCTTCTTAAATGAACAATGCAAAGAAATAGAGGAAGATAACAGAAAAGGAAAGACCAGAGATCTGTTCAGGAAAATTGGACATATTAGAGGAACATTTTGCGCAAAGAACTAACTAACTAACTAAATAAATAAATAAATAAATAAATAAATAAATAAATAAATAAATAAATAAATAAATAAATAGGAGAGACCATGCTGTACCGCCTGCCTCCAGGATGAACACTCAGATGTCAAGGTTTCCCATCTGTTGAGGACCATTCCTAAGGCCTTCAGATCCCACTTGCAGATATCCTTGTATCACAGCTGTAGTCTGCCTCTGGAGCAATTTCCCTGCACTAATTCTCCATATAGGAGATCTTTCAGAATCCAACTGTCAGCCATTCTCATGACATGCCCAAGCCAATGTAGACATCGCTGTTTCAGTAATGTTTACATGCTAAAATTTCCAGCTTGTTCTAGGACTACTCTATTATGAACATTGTCCTGCCAGCTGATACCAAAAATGTGTCAGAGACAATGCATATGGAACATGTTCAGCTTCCTCTCTTGCCGTGAGGTGCAGAGTCCAGGACTCACTTCAGTATAGGAGTGTATTCAGGACACAGGCTCTAGAGACCTGGATCTTGGTGTATGCCACCAGCTTCTTATTAAGCCATACTCTCTTTGTGAGTCTAGAGAACATGGTAGCTGCTTTGCCTATACGTTTATCCAGCTTAACATCTAGGGGGAGAGTGTCAGAGATCATTGAACAAAGGAATGCAAAGTCATGAACAAACTATAACTCTTGTGTGGAGATGGTAATAGAGGGAGGTGAGTCCACGCCCTGGCCCATGACTTGTGTTGTCTTCAGGCTGATTGTTTATCCAAAGTCTATAGTATAAAGCAATTCAGGTCCACACCCTGAATCACTATTGAGAATTTGTGTCATAGCACCATCACCACAAAACATAGGAACAAAAGAATAATCAACACCAGTCTCTCTAAACAGCAAACAAGGAGCTAAGGATAGATGGATAGCATGCAGCTAAGAGTTATTAAAATCAATTTTGAATTCACAAATCCATATCTGATCCTCACAGCTAGAGGAAATATACTGCCACTATAAAATTATAAGAGGTCAAAATGGACCTGTTCATTAACATGTTCTAACAAGAGTGCTCAGCAAATATATTATGAGAAACCATTGCACTAATATAAGCTTTCCAGGCATCATGATAAATCAGTATGCCTTTTTTTTGAAAAGTCTTTGTTTATATTGCTTAGGCTTTCACTCAATAAAATCACTACTCAGAGAGTTTTTTTACATGCGCCAGCTACTGATCGACACATTTTTTAAAAAGTCTTTCTTTAAAAAAAAAAAACAATGCCAAAGACTCCTGTTATCAAACAATAACTGGCTGCTAATTATTTGTTGAGCAAATTGAGTGACAACAGATTCTCTTCATAGTTTTACACAACATCTGGTCAGTCGAAAACCAAATCAAGGAATAGGGTTGCAGACTGTGCTGGATGGGGTTCCACTCCCTTCGAAAACACAGGAACTCAGCTTGGGGGTGTTCCTGGGTTCATATCTGAGCCTGCATGCCCAGGTTTCAGAAGTGGCCAGGAGTGCCTCTGCAAAGTGAAAACTAGTGTGCCAGCTGTGCCCGTTTCTTGAGCGGTTTGATATGGCCATGGTGACACATGCCTAGTTACATCTCAGCTGGATTACTGTAATGTGCTGTATGTGGGCCTGCCTTTGGAAAGTATTCGGAACCTCCAGAGAGTCCAAAAATGCCACAGCCAGATTGTTAACTGGGGCTAGTTGCAAGGAACATGTAACTCAAAGTACCATTCAAAGTACAGTACTGGTTTTAACCTGTAAAGCACTAAACAGCTTGGGTCCAAGGTATTTAAAAGACTGCATTTCCCTCTATGAGCCTGCCCGGGCATCAGGAGAGGTCTTTCTCTCAGTTCCAACACCTTCACAGGTGCACTTGGTGGGTACACAAGAGACAAGCTTCTCTGTTGCTGCTCCCAGGCTCTGGAATTACCTCCCATGGGAAGCTAAGCTGTCTTCATATTTGCTGTCCTTCTTCAAGCAGGCAAAGACCTTTCTCTTCAGGCAGGATTTTCCTTAATCACTGGTGGTCTGAGAGGGGTTTTACATAGATTGTTGTACTTGCATTTTTTAAATGTTGGTTTTATTTAACATTTTAATATAATACTTGTTTCATTCTTTTTAAATATTTTGTACACTTACTGTTTTTAGCTTTTAAATGCTATTTTTTAATTATGTAAACTGCCTCAGACCCCTTTAAGGAGAGGGACAGGATAAAAATGTTTTAAATAAATAAATGATCATGTGCAGCTTGCCTTTTCTTTCAGAAAACAGGACCATGGGCCTCACAAGAAATCCCAAACAATATCTTGGGGACAGGCAAGGGAAAGTCTCACAAGGAGAAACTCACCGCAAGGGAAAAGAGGGATTTATTTCTCAGTGTCTTGAGAAACAATGAGATTCACAAGTTTCCTTGGTGGGCAGTGGGCACAAATCAGCAATGAGTGTCTTTAATCACAGTTTGCAAGAATTGGCTTTGGAAGCTATGCATCCTAGTAGCACTAGAAAGTACTAGCGTGTGGAATAATTTTGTCATGCTTGTACCAGGCTTTTGGAACATCAACAGTAGCCACAATTATCATCCAGAGAGGATTCCACAGTGCTCAGCAGTGCATCATAGGGAGAAGAATCCTCTCTGCAAAGTATATGCCAATTTATACATTATAACTTTTTCTCCTGCTTCATTGAGGTGGTGACAGACCACACTCCCATTTCTATTTGACCAGAGCAACTAAAAAGACGTGGAATCAAAATTCCTGCCCTGGGGCTTCATTTGCTTAAGTTTCATCTCCTGTTCTCATTGCCAGACACATGACAGCTACAGCTGTCTGTGGTTTAGTCTTTTTCCAGAAAGAAAACGGCAAACTGTCATGCTTCAGAGTTAGAACGTATTGACTGTAGCCCCCTAAGGACTCACAAAAACAAGGAAGTAATCTTAGACCATCTTCTGGTATACCTTGTAAAGATGACCTCATCTTATAGGTCTTAAATATCAATCCAATATTAAGAGGCAACTTTAACATCAAGACTCAAGATGACTGCAGGATTAATAATAATTAAAAGTACAGTAAAAATACTTCCTTTAATTAATTTAGGGCCTGAAGAATTAGAAGAATTGTGTGCAATCAATGTAATTTTATGGACACTGTTATGTACATTTTATTAAAATGTATACCATAAATTCAGGAAATTAGCTGTATTATCAGTAAAGGAACATTACCTTAATTGTCCACATTCCTGGCTCTGGATCTTTTACATTCAGTACTTTCGCAGAGTTTTCAATATTTAGTAACTCATTCAAGCCAGATCCTTTCTTCATAAGCTTACCTAGAACATAAAGAAGAGATAGACATTTTATTTTTCACCAGTCAAATCAAGAAGGTTCAAACATTTTTGCCTTTACATGCCACTGCCAGATTCAGCTTGAAATTCGGGAACATGATTTCTACAAAACTTGAAAAAGTTAAATGTTTAGTCTATAACTTCCAGAATGCCATACATTCATTGATGGATTCTAGGATCTCCAATCAAAAAAGTTGAGGGAGTGGAACTTTTCTTTTTTTTTTCTTTTTTTCTCTTTTTTATTTCAAGGGTAAAAGGAAATAACTCGGGATAATATCATGCTATACATTATCATATATTATCTGTACTTAAACATATAATTACATTAAAGACTTTTGTGTCTGTTAGTTGCCTATATTATTCCAACTAGAGTGGTGCCTTCCAAGATGATGTTAATTCGTTCTGCGAAAATCGTTGTTTTGTGAAAACATCATCTTGCGAAATGCGGTTCCCCATTGGAATGCACTGAAATCCATTTAATGCATTCCAATGGGGAAAATAGTCGTCGTCTTGCGAAAATCGCCCATAGAGAAACCATTTTGTGAAGCGCGGACTAGCTGTCAAAATCACTATCTTGCAAAAAACGGTCCCAAAAAAAACATCTTGCAAAGCACAGACCGAAACATCGTCCAGCGAAAATCGCCCATAGGGAAAACCGTTTTGCGAAGCGCTATAGCAATCGCAAAAACTCATCATCTTGCGAATAAGCCGTTTTGCGAGGTAATCGTCTAGCCAGGCAACACTGTAGTGTTATTTGACTATTTTGTATTAAAATTATCACATTTGGCTTTCAAGTTATAGAACGGACCCATTTATATATAGGGTCCAATTTTTCAGATGCTTCTTGGATTGAATTGTCTTTCAAAGATTCTGTTAATATGTCCATCTCTGCCACTTCCATAATCTTTTCCACTAGTTCTTCACGATTTGGTATTTCGTTTTTCTTCCATTTCCATGCATATAATATTCTGGCTGAAGTTATTATTTATATGCATCATCAAATGGCTCTCTCTCCTATCTAAACCGTCTGATAACATATTTAATAAGAATAATTCTGGTTTAAATAGTATATTACATAGCAGAATTTTCTGTAAACATTCATGTATTAGTATCCAATAATTTTTTTCTTCACTACATGTCCACCACATATGACACAAGGTTCTCTCTTGTAATTTACATTTCCAACATATATTTGATATACCTTTATACATTTTTGACAACTTATGTGGCGTCATGTACCATCTGTAGAACATTTTGTATATATTTTCATTAAAGTTTACCGATTTTGTAATTTTTATATTAAGAGCAACTTTTCTAAGCTCTACATTAGAGATGGAGATGAAAAAAAAACCCAAATCAGAAAGTCTGTTAAAAATTCGTTGGTTCATTGGTTCAGGTTGGTTTAGGTATGTCAAAACTGACAAATGTGAACTGACCTGAACCATGATTTGTTTGTTTACAATTTAATGCACTTCCTGATTCATTGCCCCCACCCCCTTCCCACTGCCCTCATCGCCTCCCTGCCTGGTCCAGTTGCTTCCACCACCATCTCGAGAGACAGCAGGCCTAGATTCCCTTCTGGGAGACATGTTTGCTGTCTCTGCACATGGGAGAGTGGCCTGACTGCAGTGGGGCCTCCTCCCCCTCCTCCTCCATTGTTGTTCCAATTGCAACCAGAACAACAATGGAGGAGGGGGAGGAGGAGGCAGGACCAGGTAAGGAGGTGACAGGTGGAGTGGGCAGGCTGTGGGGCTGTAAATGGGAGATCCAGATTGGGCCTCATGGTGTTGGATCACCCATTTGCAGCCAGAGCAATGATGGTGGTGGAGTAGGAGGTGGCAGGAACAGAAAGGAAGGCAACAGGGGCTGTGGGAAGGGGTGGGATGTGGGGATGGGGAGTTAATTTTGCCCTCCACCCAGGCATGAACCTTTTTTTTAAAAAAAATGAACCAGTTGATTGTTCTTTTATATATATATATAGTTTGTGGTTTGTGAGTAGCCACAAGCCACTGTTTTTGTGGTTCATGCCCATCTCTCCTCTAGATCTATTACAATATGGATCAATACTATGAGAGTTCTGACAATGAGAGGTGCAGAGGTTCAACACATACCAAAGCAACTTGGTGAACCTGGTCTGGCTCTTTCACAACTTTGCATCATTCTGACAAAAAGAGGAATGACCCAACCATAGGAGAGCTGTCTCAGATACTATAAAATGAAGTTTATTGCTTAACACAAGAAACATCATTTTATGGCATCTTGAGATGTCTCTCTCTTATATGTAGGTTGCAAACTGAATATTCTCCAGATTCAACTATCAACACGAAGTAGACTGAGACACATGTACATGAATCTGTTTGCATTCTATTTAACTACCTTGCAGGAGGCTAAATTCCTGTTGTAAGGGCCCCCTCAAAATATGACAGGGAACAGATTCCTGCAGCAGTTTCTGTGGCTAAGCATATAATTGTATTGCACAGGAAGTCACAATTCAAAGACTAGAATCCTACCAGTCTGCACATAAACTTTATGTAACTTGCTGGAGCAAGCTGTGACTAATTAATAAGGTGCTAGGGCACATATAAATAGCACAGCCAGGTGCATGGCCATGTACCCTAGCACCTTGTCAACTAGCCACAATTAGCCATAGCAAGTTATGCAAACTTTACAGGAACACCAGCAGGATTCTGACAAAGACGTTCTTAAGAACAAGAAGGCTGAAAGAACTGTAATATAAGAGGAATGGAAACCCAGAGAAATACAATTTTACATGACAGATATTCTGGAACAATTTTAAACACTTTTCCCAATCCAGTACTGTGCTAGTTTGCTGTCTGACAACTGTGATTATAGCAAACAACATACTGGGAGCTGGCTGGAATGACAGCAGATGAGGTCCAAAAATTTTGGAGGGCTCCAGGTTCACAAATGTCAGCTGAACAAAGAACACTGTTCCCTGGCTTCAAAAATTGCTCGGAAATTGGAGATGTGAAAGCTTGCTTAATACCATTGATAAAACTTTGAATTCTTTCTTTCTTTCTTTTTCTGTCTGTCTGTCTGTCACTGTGTGCATGCATATCTGTGTGTGTACACTGGGTATTAGCCTGGGGGCTGAGAAGCTTGAGGTTCCCTACTCTACAAGAACCTTCTCTGGCAGCCACTGGACATGACATTATTTGTATCATATGGCCAATGAGGAAGCAGAACTAGGGCTTGCAGGATTGAAGACCCAACACTTTATGAGTAGAGGGGATTATGACATCATCTTCCGCCTCCCTCTGAGTTTTTCCTGTAAGCTCCACAGTGGTTAGGAGACAAACAGATTTTCCCAGGAATGCTGTATTATTTCAAGCACTCCGTGTTGTGATGCAAAGTATTTGAGAGTAGTTTGGTCTGGAATGGACGATTTAGAACCACTTCACCAAAAGGCCTGTTCCTCATTCACTGATATGAACAAATCTAACTGCTTGCATTTTGGGATTCTTGTTATTGGTGGAGGAAGGCTGACTATGGGGATTGCTTGTTTACCGCATCACCACTATATATGGCCTCTTGTGGTTTATTGCAAGCAGCTAGTTTATGTGGAAAGATGAGCTAGATTTGGAAGGTGACATATGGGAGAAGAGATTTGAATTCTTTGCCACAATACCAACCAGAATCCCACCTGCTATTCATTGATGAGGAAAGCTCCCATGAGTCCTTTTAAGAGCTGTTGCACACCTTTCTGGCACAGCGCTAGGGCAGGATTTCTTTTTATTAAAATTCAGTGCAATCCTGATTGTTGTGTCGCCTGTGTGAATAGTTAGTTTGCACCCAAATGGATCTGTGGGCAGCATTATCTGAGGTGAAACCCTCGTGACGTAATAGGTGGCTTGTAACATTAAAAGGGCGGATGGAAAAACCCTCTTCTCTATTTCCATTTTTTAAAAAATATTTCCCTAACTGACACAATGAAATTTTAATACCATGTTAGGTTGATGCATTGGTATTTTGACATGTCATTGGTATTTAGACCACCATACCACTTTATTTAACTAACAAACAAAAACAAGGAAAGCCACTGCCACTGGCTGAATGATGTCTGAGAGAAAAGGCAGGGAACAGGACAATCTTGACTCCATGGGCTCCACCCCCACAAGGCAGAGCAGACCCAGCATAGCCCCAACTAAGGAGAAAGACAGAGGAAAGGAGGGTTAACCCCTTTCCAGCTCCCCAATCTTCAACACAATGTACCACTGCCATGAGCTTGCTTTACTGCCCTTATTCATGAGTAAACCAGGTAAACTTATCTGTGAGTACACCAGGTAGATTTACGAGGAACTCCATCAATAATCAAAAATCCTGCATGGACCTTTCTCACAGGAGAAGAAACATATTCAGTTTGAATGGACGGATCACTCAAGTGAGAGAGAGATAAAACAGATCACACTAAATGATAGGAACCTTTGAAAGAGGAACACACACACATCCCAAATTTCCATCTGGACAGGTGTTGAGTCTCCCCCTGTGCCAGCAAATGATGTCATTTTTTTGTTTTAGACCGAGTTTCTTTCCTAAATTACCAAGGTTTTTTTTCTATTTAATTATCCCAAAACATACTGCCTACGAATTGCAATATGTGATTTTTCTAGCCCACAGCAAAAGAGCCATGATTCAAAATGAGACTTAGCCTTTGATGACACATTGCTCTTGTGAGCAAACTATTCACACAGGCAGTTATTTATTACAGCAAGTACCATAAAACAGAGGCTCTGTAAAATATTATGCTGCTTCACATGACATCTCTGTGAAGCAACATTCAGGTGTTCCACCTGAGTTTTTAAAAAATATACCTTTTCTGTTTTTTTAATGGTAAAGAAAATTTTCCTTGGAGAGTATCTCTGGAGACCAATGCAATATGGTGTTTTCTTGCCATCAAATCCAAGCACTGCCAGATGTACTTTGTTTATTTTAAACAAGGATATTGGCTTCAGGATTTCCCCCTCCTTCCCCCCCCCCCACTTTCCTCCCAACTTGAACTGACTCCAAACTATATCTAGTAATGAAATCAGGAGGAAGAGGAAGACTGATATATCTATGCATTAAAAAAATCTGTTTCAGAATTATCTGAGCAATTTCACAGTAGAATGTCACATTATATGGCACGTACATTTGATGTCAACAGACTGATATCTGGAGCAGCAAAGACCACAGACCCTGATCGTAATGTTATTATCATCCACTAACTCTTATGGGATCAGAATGACAAATTCTAGTCAAAAATCCTCCTCACGAGGTTGGAAAGAGCCTACAGAAAAACCCTCTCCTTATTAACTATCCCAACTTTTGGAGAAAAGTATCTGAGGCAACAAAGTGGCACAGGGAGGGAGGGAGACAGAAAAGAAAGAAAGAAAGAAAGAAAGAAAGAAAGAAAGAAAGAAAGAAAGAAAGAAAGAAAGAAAGAAAGAAAGAAAGAAAGAAAGAAAGAAAGAAAGAAAGATTAAAGTAAACCCAGGGACCAGGTGTTGGGAGAAGAGGATTCAAACAGCAGTTTGTTTCCCTGAAGACCTGCTGTATGGCTGCAGACCCCTCCATGTCTGCTCAAGTTATCATACCACCCGAACCAATGCAAATACATCCAATTCTAAAAAAAATTAGAAGCCCCAGCAGCAGAGGAAAAAATATGGATGGCAATGGGGGAGGCTCTCCAGGCTCATTCACACTGACTTTTATATCATGCACTCAACAAAAAATACTGCAACTCAGATCATTCAAATCCCAGAGCATTCCCCACGTTATTTGTTAATGTAGGTGCGCCCTGAAGCTATTTGTACAAAGGATTATTAAATTGCTCTGTGATCCCACATATTTCTAAGGCTCATCTACTCTATAAATCACTACTGCTTGCATATTTCAAACCTCTGTTTCTCCCAGAAAATTCAGCAATTTTCTGTTTATTTAAGTTTTGGAAACAATTAATCAATCACTGACCTTGTTTATCAAAAATAATGCATCAGTATCTCACCTAAAGGATTATAGACTTCAATTGTTGGAGAAGGGCCACTCAGAGACACTGTGACCTCTTTCAAGCTAGGATCAAAAGGGATCTGCCAACCATTTACTGCTGAAGTCAGTTGATCCGTGGACAACAGATGAACTTTGGAGGCTTGCACAGCTTCTTCAACCCATTTTAATACCTGCAAGAGAAGAGAACACCTATGTCAAGTGTCCATATTGCACTTCACAGTACGCATTAAGTGCTTTGTTTCGAACAACACCCCTATTGAACCAGGGTTCATTTTTCCATGAGGCATCAAACAATTAGCTGTCAACATACTTTTCCAAAGAGCAATAAGACCAACATAAGGCCAACTGTTCCTTGTCCAAAGCCACTATACTTCCTCCAAGTTCAAACAAAGTCCAACTGGTCTTGCAAACTGTTGCTGCCCACACGTGGCAATTTGTGGGCCAGACAGGCATATACAGTGACAACCATCTCCCTACAGGCAGCTTGCAAAGGAAAATTGACAAGACAAAACAAGAAGCAGCAAAGAAAAGGAAGTAGGATTCTATTTTCCCTTCTTCCCATACCCTCATCCATCAGAATTTATTTAATGAATGTTGGCAGAAGAGCCCAAAATGTCTTGCAAAGCATGAATTCACTTCAATAGGTGTAAGCAAGTATAAGAGTCAAAAACTTTGGAAACTTGTAAGGTTTTAAGACAACTTAATATTTCCTAAATCCCTTTCTAAAAATGAAAGGGTAGACAAGAATGAAAAAAAATTAAGTGAACAAGAATGAAGGATCACTGGTTGACAAACTATGAATACTCTGCATATTTACAGGCCAAGAAGCAGCCTGCTTAACCATCTGACTCTAAGGTTTTGAGAATTCATTTTCTGATACAGCGAGTAAAACTAGGATCTCTTGCAGTACCAATCTTACACCTGTACTCAAAAGTAAGTCCTACTGTGTTCCCTGAGTCTCACTCATATTTAACCACACAGATAATAGAATTCCTAGGCTCAAAAAATCAACAAATTCCAGATTCCTGCAGCTATGATATATGGCTTTCACCCATGGCAAGAAGCTCTTAATATCCTTTTTAAAGAGGCAGCCATGTTTGTTTCAGCATGCATAAGAAAAAAACAAGAGTCTTGAAGATCTATTTCTGCATGCCTTTTATGGTTGACAATGTGGCTTTTTGTGTCTGAGGATGTGGACTGTAACACATGAAAGCTCATGTCAACATGAAAGCTGGTCTACAGCTCTTTTGTTCTTGGTATGCTTGCCTAAAGTGTGTTGGTTTTGTCCCAGCTCCACTCAACCAAAGCTCAGAAAAGTTACTTTCTGGATCACAACTCCCAGAATTCCCTTAGTCAGGGCTAAGTGAGAGAATCTGGGGATTTTATTACAAAAAAAGTAGTGTGCGGTTTTTCTAAACACTGTACGCCATCTACCAGGTTCCTCTTAATTTCACCCTGACTTCCCGATTTATGCCCAAATCTATCTTGGCACAGCTTGCTTGGCTCCAGGCCTCAAAAGGCTAGTCTTTTTACAGTTCCAGCTCAAGGTTTCATATTTTCCCCACAGCTGCCAATGCTCTCATTGCTAAAAAGTCTGTGCAGAAGTTGGCAGATCCCAACACAGAGAGGTTCCATGCACACTGTTTTCTCAGTTTGGGTTCACATCCCCTGGGTTTGCAATTCAAGTGAGGCCAAGACTTGAGGGCTAAAATCCCCATCAGACATGGTAGATGTGAAGTCTAACACTATGTTAGCCCCAAACTGTTTAAAAATAGACTGGAATTCATAAACTTTGGCATGTTACATGTGGCTTTAGGTTTCTTTGTTTTTTTGGACAGGTCTTAGCACATGTAACAGAAAGCAAAGCACAGTCCTTCCTCACACTCCTTCTTTTGTATGTGCAGCTTATTAATCTCAGTTTGTGCAAGGAAAGAAAGCTAATAAAACTAAAGTCTAATACATAAGTTGTTCAACGCACAAACTGCTCAAGAGTGGGGGAGACAAACTGCCACATCATGAACTGTTCCTCTGCCCTCCAGTTGCCCAAATAGCCTGCATTTATCTCAGCATCTCTCTCAGGGCTAAACTAGACAATGATTTTGTAATATATCTTGCAGATATATCTTTTTCCTACTTACTCTAGAGTAAGAATAAGCACATGGGATTCTTTGCCTGCCTGTCCACTGTGACTTTCATTCAGATACAGAATCATTTAAATCTACCTTTTTGTTGTTGTTGTTGTTGTTGAAAAGAGATGTACTCAAACAAATGAATCACTTTTGACAAAAACATTGCTGGCACAAAGGGCCCAACATGGATCGAATTCACAGCAGGGAGCAAAAAAGATTAAAGCTTCATGATACCACCTCATGCTAGGGTAAACATGGAGTAAGCTATAAATGGTAAAGAAAACATCCATGGACACCTATGAATTGTTTTGCTTAATCCATTGTTCATTTAGATTTCTAAGCAATGTGTGGCTTTTTCTGCTCTTACATCTCTATGAATATTACTTTTATGGATGCAAAAATGAGGCTGGTTTAGGGTGGTCTGGCAAAGGCACCCATTGACTCCATGATCTGACTGAGATCTGCTCCAACTCAATAACTCTACACACCTTTGCCATGCCATGAAATACCAAATACAGTACGTTGTGATTTTCTTGCATTTTCTAGCTGAATTAAGTGCAGAGGTAAAATGAACTTTAACAAGTAGGGCTCCATGCCCAAGTCAAGTCTGGCTGTTTGTGGTCCTACAATTCGAAGCCTACATCCAAAGAACTAGCTGATTAGTTCAAACCAGTATCTGAATTTTTTTATTTTTTTATTTTTTGCCCAGTTACAATTGCTGCTAGGACCTACACTCCCCACATGGCCTCTCGTTCTGCATATTGCATTGCAAACTTAACAAAGTGAGGGGCAGAAGGTAGAATCTTTGGAGGAAAATCACAGTTGAATGGAGAAATGTCCTCCAAAGAAACAGGTTCTGTGGTGCACAAACGACTCACACCACTGAAGAGAATCAAATAGGGGAGAGCTTGCTTCCTCCCAGTTTTACTTCCAGTGGTGGCCAGTGGAAAGGTCATGCTCTCAGCCAGTGTTTTCAAAAGTTCCCTTCCTCCTTTCCCAACCAGAATCATAACTTCGTCCCATATCTTTTAATGTATCCTGTTTCTGGACTAATATTGTTTGCATATCTGCCTGCCTTCACCAACCCTCTGAACTTATGTGCTAAAATTTCTACAGATACTATTCTCTAACTCAAATTCCTTGTGCACTCTAGCCGTTTTTCTTTTGCCATATTTTCAGCTTCATTCAGGTTCTTTTCAGTCCACAGCAGCCCCTCCACCTGCCCTTCAACAGGTTTTCTGCATTCCATGTCAGTTAAGCAAAAGTGTTTACATCCTCTATATTTCCTCATTAAAATATGGAGATTTACAACAAACTAAACACCAGCAATAATAAAACAGCAGTCAATAAAAGATACATCATCAACCTTCACATTTAAGTGCAGTGATAATTAATTCCATAAATATAATTATGTGCAATAATGTTTGATTCAACATCATTCTAATAAAAACCAAGCAGCAATCATTCCAAAGCAGTACATAATGTAACCACAGTATTCCAACAGCTCATTTCATACACATGATGCTTTTTTCATATTCACAGTGCAATTTAGTTACCTAAAAATATTAAAATAAAGAAATTGATCTAAGAAGCCTTCAAAATATTTCCACAGGTTACCAGTAGTAAATCTGTGGCCCACAGGCTGCATATGTAGCTGCGCTTTTCTGTGAACCCTGAAAGGACCCGGAGCCCCACAACACCAACAGAAATTGGTAGCACATTACTTCATTGTATAGGAAATCACATTTTTACCTTGAAAGAAAAGCCTCTGCACTTCCTTTTAAGGGAGAAACTTGCTCCCAAAAGGGTCTTGGAAGCTCAGTTTGCCTTTAAAACAAGGTCTGTATGCCTTACACTCCCTGTACAAAGGCAAAAGTGGCTTTTCTTGCACTTCCAGTAGTGCCGCCTTATTAACTTTCAATGATCCAGATATAGGCTCCGCTTTCAACCAGTCACTCCCTTCTAGCCCAACCAACTTCATACATTTTTAAGTGAAAGAAACAAGGAAGAGAACTATGTACAACACCTGAACTCTGCGAAGATGATGGAAGTGGCCCACAGGCCCCTGTTGGATGTCTTTTTCCCAGGACTTGCTGAATTTCCCACTTTAAGCCCCTCAGTAGATCTGGGAGAGCCTACACTAGAATATGACGTCCAAGAGGAAGCGGTTGTCCAGGAAGAATCTAAGGTGCTAGAAAGGGAGGAAAAGTCCCGGAATTGGAAAAAGTCTGAGAAAGGAAGATCAGCCATAAAGGAGAGAAGACCTGTGGGAGCTGATGTCTATAAAAGAGGGCTTGGAAGCAGCAAGTACAGAAGAAAAAGTAGAGAAGACAAATCTCCAAACAAGAGAAAGGAGGAAAGAGAGGAAAGGAAAAGGCCTGGGATGAGGGATAGAAGGTCCTGAAATGGAATCTTACCAGCTGGACCGCAAAACCCCAGAAGAACATAAGCCTCCAGGAGATTGGGAATACATATATAAAAATGATCATTGGACTGGCATACTGATACAACTCAGGGTTCCTCAAGAAAAGGTGGAGAGACATCTTAACCCTTGACCAGTACACAAGCCTTAATACTGGGGAGAGCAAGAGAGAAGAGAAAGATGTTGTAAAACCCAGGAGGCTCCTGTGGAAATGGAGGTCTCATGAGATAAATACTGGCAGAAGTCAAAGCGAAGACCTGGCATTCCCAAATCAGGGCAAGTCTAATGGAAGCTGAGACAAAGAGCCTGTGAAAATGTTCACTGTGTGAGGTTACAAGTCATCGTTGCTGTGCTATCCCTTGCCCAAGTCAACAAGAATAGTCTCACTAAAAAGTTCTGCCTTGAATGCTCCATTAGTCAAGATAACTGGCAAGACTAGGAATCCCGAGGGGACGGTCTGGATTAGGTATCTGGGCAGTGAAGGGAACTGGCTCCAACATGTTTGATGTTATTAATGTTATACAACCTTCTCCCAGTTCAATAAACCCTGTTTTACTGACACATTTTTAAGCCTCATTCATGGAGTCTGAAATGGAAGAGGGGAACCCAACAAACCTAA